GTGTCACTGGCCCTCATATGTGGGATCCGAACCGGGGCCCTCTGGCATCCCAAGCGAGTTCTTAACCATCGCGCCACTCGGCCGGCCCTAAAATAATTTTTAGGTGGATTAGGAAAATAGAAAACCTTACCTTTTAATTTAAACTTGGCCTTTTGTTCCAAATTCTTTAATTTTTTAAAGGGTAGGTTATGTTTCCTTAATAAAACTATCTGTTTCTTTTCTCAACCTTAAGTTGGATGGTAAAGGAAGTAAAATGCACCAATTTTCATTTCTTTTAATGATGCCTTAATTTTATCTCTGAAGTGGATATACATACTGATAAGGTTGTTGGGAAATTAAATGAGTTAACACGTGTAACATTGGTAATAAATTCTGGAACATAATAAGTGGTATATATGTGTTGTCCATTATGTTGATATTATCTACAACTTGTGCATGAAATGAGAGTAAGTGATAGTTTAGACTAGATACATTGTGTGGTTTTAATTAATGTGAGTTTCTTTTTCCCTATAAAGTTTTATTCATCACACCTTTTTCTAACGTATTTATGTCTCAGACTGTTGTTATATGCCAAAGATACAAAGAAAACTAAGAGTTCAGTATCTCATGAGGAAGTAAAATAGGAAAACAAATAATTACAGTGGCTTTTTTTCCCCCCTGTGGGGTATGTGTGGAAGGGGCTATGATAACTTGAACAAGATTTTAAAAGATAGGCAGAATTTTGTCAGGCAGATGGAGGGGAAGTACATGTGAGGCGATTTGAATAGTATATACAGGGACATAGAAAAAATTTCATTTCAGGTACAGCATTTCAGTATTACCAGACCATAAAGTTAACAGGGAAAAAGGGTACAAAAAAGCCTCAATGTTATCCTGTACAGCTTGAACTTAAGAGAGCTGATGGGAAGCCATGGAATCATTTTAAATTTAAAATTTTAAATTTGCTGTCTCTTTTAAAGTAGTGTGAATGATGGGGATTGGCTTGGGGCAGTGAGACCAGTTCACTGATTAATTCATTCAGAACTTTTTACTACACTGGCCCAGGCAGAGAATTGAGCAGTGAATAAGGAAGATAAGGTCTCATTGAACTTAACATTTCTGTTGAGATATACATAAAGCAAGTGACTTTAAGTGGGGAGTTACAATACTGACTTGGTAATAAGTTATGAAAGGCCTTTCTAAGATGTTAGCACATGATGGAAAGAACAAGAGGAACTTTATAGCAGATTTTTTTTGTTTTTGTTTTTGTTTTAGTGTAAATGAGATGGGGAATTTAAGAGCACTTTGGGGGGTAAAGCTGATAGTTGATTGGAAGTGGGTGTGAAGGGATTGGGAAAGAAGACTGGATGACTCAAGGCATTGGCCTGGGTGACTAGATTAGATACTGAGAATGCAAGAGATGTTGGCTTGGGAGCAGAGGCATGGGGAGGAGAAAGGGAAACAACTATGGAAATTAGACTGAAGATCCATGTATAATATGTTGTTCTGACACCAAGGGGGGGCAAAGGTAAAAGTGAAAGATGCTGTTACTGATATAAAGATAGAATAATAGATGAGGCAGTCAAGGGAGGAAGTTTATGGGGAAGAATGCAGAAAGGAGAATCCTGAGGGAATATAATGGAGATGAAAGGTTGCTTTGTAAAATTACTGCTGAAGGGCCTGCTGAGTGGCTCAATTGGTTAAGAGCTCTGAGCAGCAGTGGTTTGAGTCCTGCCCGAGCTGAGCTGCCAACAGGTGGCAGGATGGTTCAGCTAAAAAAAAAAAGGTATAAAATTACTGCTGAGAATGAACTTTAAGGAGAAAGTCTTAAGGATATTGAAAGGGAGGAGACAAGTTTAAAAATGAGGGAGTGGTCAGGAGTGCTCTGATGTAGAGGGTCCCGGTATGACACATGACAATTAGGCTTCCCCAGGAAACTTTCAGAACAATAGGACTGATGAAGTGTGTTGGTGAATAAAACGTTTGATGTTAAAGTTACACTGTATTTTTGAAATCTTTGAATAGAAGGAGAAAGCGTGCAGCTATAGGGATTTGCATGGTTAAGGAGAATATTTAAAGTGGAAAAAATATAGTAGAGGAGTTAACACTTTTTCTTTGCAAATCTAGGAAAAATGGACGATGTGGAGATACAAATTATTGTATGTAAGGACATGCCTGGAGGAAGGAGAGGGGAGGGCACATTTGAAGGCATTGACTTACCAGGAAAAAGGGAAAGGGGCAGGAGGCTATTAAAAATTTCTAGGGAGACTTGGAAATGAAGGGAATTCCTTCCTGCTGGCTGCTGGTTCATTCTTTCCCTTCACCTGTACTTAGTTCAAAGCAAGACTGCATGTATGGTACAAGGCCAGGAAGTTCATGCTGGTGAGGGGAGAAGAGGGTATGACAAAAGACACGGTGAAGGATTCATGGGTGGCTTTCAGATCCCACCTGAGGTTACATAAAAAGAATGCATGGTGGTATAATGTTTTCAGCAGGACTCAGCAGCAGGGAATAATAGAGCAGGGAAGGTAGAGTTTTAGAGTAATCCTCTTGGAGATTTGTGGGCTGGGTGCAGCTAAACAACAATGCAGAGGGCTTGAGAACGCATAGATTATGAGTCCCATGAGGTGTGTGTGTGTGTGTGTGTGTGTGTGTGTGTGTGTGTGTGTGTAGGGCTTTAGGTAAGATCATGAAGGGGAGTAGACCTAGAAAGTGGGGTAATAAATGGGGAGAAAATGTGTCAGATGGTTAGAGGTTTCAGTTAGATCAAGTAAAATATGGAAGAAATTAGTTTGCAATGCGAATGTTTGCATTTAAGGTATTTAAATATATGTATATTTGAAATGATAGCCTTTTCTCTGGATGAAATATTTCTTATTCTTTGATTTTATTTTAATGAGGAATGGCTTTGACTTACTAAGTGATTTTGCCATAAGTCAAGAAAATGTGTCTATGGTAGGTAGTGCAGGTTTTTTGCTTAGTATTAGTGTAAATATATTTTTATTGTATTAGTTATTGATGAACTTGTTCTCTTCTGGTATCTCCTCAGAAGATCCATTCTACCTGTAATTCTTATGTGATGTCTTGTTTTATTTACAAAAGTATAAAGTGTAAGTGAAGAGGTTTTATTTTGCACTGAAGAGCTCATCAGTTTGAACTGTATGTAGGGTTGGAATTTTAGGGAACTTTTGCCCTCTTAACAGCTCAATAACTCTCAAAACAGCTCAATGAAAAGAGCTGTCATACAGTCTTGGGTTCTCAATCTTTGGTACCTGGGGAGGTTGGTAAAAACATAGCTGCTTGGCTCCCTTACCCCCAGAGCTATTGAATCAGGCTTGGGGTAGGGGTAGGTGGTCCGTAAACACTTAAAATTCTAGAAATACAACCTGAGCTAATGTTTAAGGAGCAGTTTCCTTGAGAACAATTCAAGGGTTACCACAGGTGAGTTTATTGGTTTTGTTTTTTTTTTGAGCTATAAGCAATGGGGACACAGTTGTCCTCTTTGTTTTATTTGAGTTATGAAAATGCAATTTACATAAGTTTTCCTTCTTGGTCCTTCTGTTTACACTCACAAACATATTCTCCACTGTACAAATAATAATTGTGAGATTCTAACCTCATCATTTCTGGCAAGCTAGAAATCATCTTCACATTTTTTTTTTAATTAGTTTCAGGTGTACAACACAGTGCTATAGTTACACTTTTTACCCTTCAAAATGACAACCCCCTCCCCCAATCNTTTTTTTTTTTTTTTGGTTTGTTTTTAGCTGAAATTTAAAACTATTTTAAAATTGTACATATTAAAAGTGTCCTGTGGACAGAAAGGAGGATACTTTTCTAATTCTCCTGCAAACAGGCTTGATTTTTCATTGGTTAAAAAAATTTAAGTTGGTGAAATCTTACTTTGTAAAATTAATAGACTTATTTGTTCATAGGCATCAGCTAAACAATCAAATGCGTCATCTGATGTTGAAGTTGAAGACAAAGAAACTAGCATTTCAAAGGAAGATACTGACCATGAAGAAAAAGCCAGCAATGAGGTGTGTTTATTTTCTCTTGCATTCTAAACTCATTTTGTTGCAAGAAACTGTAAAATGAGTTGATCATTTGATTGCAAAATAGAAAGAAATAAAGTAAAGTAATGAATGAGAAAATCATTTTTGCATCTTTAAGATGCATGGATGTTTTTATTTGAAGTTATTTTGCTGTGTAAAATAGGAGGTCCAACTATAGGAGAATGGGTTACTGTTAGGAATATTTTTAAAGCACGGTATTGTGGGGTAGATAAACTGGAAAGGGCATTGAACTGAATTTTTAAAATCCTAGATGTATTTCCAACTCTGTATTTGATTATCTGTGAGTGGGGTGACTCATTTAGTCCTAGGCCTCATGAAATGGTTGTTAGATGATCTCTAAAGTCCCAGCCACCTTAAAATTCACAACCCTAAAATTCAGGACTTTCTACTGTAAAAAAGTGGTTTCACAAATGTAAATATGTAAACTTCCTGGTATAGTAGCAAATGTGCCTTTTATATTTGATCTGACAGAAGAAAGCTTTTTTTTTATGAAGATACTGGCTTTCCACCTTATAACGATAATATTAAGACTTTTTTTAATGTTCATTAAATATTTTTTAAAATTATTTTTTATTATGAATACACATTTTTTAGAATTAGTTTCAGCTGTACAACACAGTGCAATAGTTATATTTTTTACCCCTCGAGGTGCCAACTCCCCTTCCCCAATCCGCCGCTCCACTTCCCCCCAATATCATACGTATCTATTAAAATTCCCTTGACTCCACTCACACACTATACTCCACGTCCCATGACCATATATATATATATATTTATTCACTTATAGTTGACATACAATATTATACAACAACAGCTTCAGGAAGACTTTTAATGTTTGTAATTTCAAAGGTCAGAGAAGCAAAACAAATTTCCCTAGTTACTTGTAGAGAAACATGCTTGTGACTTTTAGTTTAAGAAATTTTCTTTTCAGTTTTGGCATTATTTAGCTTCATCTGTATTTTTTCCTAGGATGTGACTAAAGCAATTGACATGACCACTCCAAAAGCTGCCAGAAGAGGGAGAAAGAGAAAGGTAATTATACTTTTAACCAAAGGGATCCTAAAATAATTTTTATTTTTATTTATTTATTTTTTTTTAAAGATTTTTTTTTTATTGGGTAATTGGGGGGTTGGGAACAGTACTGGGAAATTAGGGGAAGGGGAACAGACAAGTTGCTGTCGTTTTGTTCTTCAGTCTAGTTGTGGAGG